GTTCTCTTTAAACTCTTGATAGTCATGATCAAAGAGAAACTTCGCTCACAAAAAGAAATGAAAAAAGTGTTTAAATACTTTCAGAACCATTTTAAAATTTGCAACAGTTGAAATATTTAAGACTCTAACAGTTCTTCCCTTTTAAATGCAAATGTGATGTTCAAATTTCTCGTGATAATATGAATGAATTTTGAAACCAGTTGAACGTTTTCACATCAAATATTTCAAAAACAATGGAGATTTTATCTGCAGGACACACAGGCACCATCAAAGCAGCTGCCTTGCAGCTAGCTCAGCTGAGGGAGTAAAAAATAAAATATGAGTTATCTGCAAACAGAAATGTCAGTTATATGTAATGTCAGAGAATGCTCTGGAGCTGCACCTGCCTCTACTCCCCTCTCAAAGGCCTATCTTCACCATCCACATTGTGAACGCCTAGAACAGCAGCTCCATTGCCTGCAAAAGACTTAGGATGAAGATGTGGGGAGCAGAAAATATGGAATAAACTCAGATATTTGAGAAATGCATGAATTTGGGGAGCTGCTCTCCAGCAGTGTCACTGAACTGCTAAGGAGTTGGCTATCCTCTGTGTACTGCAGTTTTGAATACAGTACACCAGAAAACTATTTCTGAACTTCCTGGAAAGAATAACGTTTGATCAGGTTGGGCTAGTTTGGTTCTAGGATAGGCAGTAAGTATAGCACTTTCTAGGTATACAGCTCAACCTGAATAGACAGATGAATAATGAACAATTGTTGGTTGCAAAGCAAACAACCATTCCCTGCTTTGCTCCTCGTGGGAGTCCAGATTTTTCTTCTGCTTGGGAGCTCCTACTTCTCAAAGCCTATGATCCCACGAGTCTTCAATATAAGTTATACAAGATATTTGCAACCTCAAACTTCCTATGTCCTATTGCTCATTCAAGGGTACAGCTGCCAAGGGCTTTTAGTAAAAGAAAGTTCCCTGCTCGTCTGAAATAGCTCCCAAAAAAGACACTCTCTGCCATTGTACTGGAGTATGTATGTCATATGAAAAATGAAACTGCTAGAGCCTATATTCTCAATGGGGGTGATATCTCCTCTGAGGGGATGAAAATTGGGGAGAGGAAAAAAAATCATACTTTCTATGTATAAAGCATAAAATACACATACAGTATATAAACAGATATGCACAATACCTGTGGTATTAAGACTTAGGGGGGGCATTGAGAAAAAAAATCTTAAAAGGCTCCTTAAGGGAGCAATATAACGAAAAGGTTGAGAAACACTGTTCTAGAGCAATGGCAGATACCACCAAAGGCAGAAGACAATAATGGAAACTAAATTATTGATGCTATCATTAAGTTTTTGAGTCAAAGTTTATGACACCTAAAACCTGTTCTAGCTCTTGACTTTCCATTTAACTAAGCAAATATATTCCCTTTACTGTTGAAGCTATTTTGTATTGTTTCCTGTAAGTCATAACAAATGTCATATTAACTGACAAAATATGGAACTCTTTATCTAATTACATGGCCAATGCAACAGAACATTAAAGTGGAACTATTTTAGTCTGTCTCTGTTAAGCCTTCATGAATATAGGTGCCAGATATCCTCATAACCAAAGGGAGCCAAGTAAGATGAGAACCCCATGCAAAAAGAGGTGCCTGGGTGGCTCAGTTGGTTGAGCATCTGACTCTTGATTTTGGCTCAGGTCATGATCTCACAGTTGTGAGATTGAGCTCCACATCGGGCTCTGTGCTGAATATGGAGCCTGTTTGGGATTCTCTCCTCTCTCTGCCCCTCCCCAGCCCTTGCTCTCTCTCTCTCTCTCTCTCTCTCTCTCAAAATAAACACACATTAAAAAAAGAAAAAAAAAAAAACCATGCAAAGAGATAGTGGGAAATGGATTTCAAAACTCTTGGTCCTCATCCATGGATAGTGCAGAAGACAAAATTGAAGACAGGGGTGAAGGTTAAAGAATAGTTATTAGGACATTTACATGAGGGTGGTTGGGGGAGAGTGCTCAGACTGGAGGGACTTCAAGGAGACCACCTTGTATGTATCTCTGGAAATCTGTGTAGACACAATAAACCTGGTAACTGAAGTTGACATGAAATTATGAGGCCCAACCTTCCATTCTCAACTCATGAAAATTAAGGAAGTTAAAGGGAATGCAAAGTAAAAATTGACATGAATTAAGATGGGTTCCGCACACCCCTTCCTCATTTCTCTGGGTTCAAACTGTATTACTTAGGAATCTTTGGTCGTGAGTAACAAAAATAGAACTTGACTCAAATGAAAAATGGGAATTTACCACCTCACATAATGAGAGGAGAGGAGAGGAGAGGGGCAGGGAAGGGAGGAGAGGGGAGAAGAGGAGAGGAGAGGGGAGGGG